CGATCAAAATTTGAATTCACTGATTGGCTATTTTCTTTTTAGGAGTTTGTATTACCGGCACAAATAAGTAAAGCCCCTGCGAATTGCCTATTTTTAAGGCCCGGCCCGGCCCGCATTTAGGGTTAAAATTTTTTTTCTGGCCCGGCCCGCATTTAAAGTTAACATCTTTTTGCCGGGCTGCAGGCCTCTATACGCAGTATTCCGACCCGGAATTTTGGGGACCCCCTGTATGAGTTGTCGAACTTTATATAATCACACCTCTATATAAGCACCTAAATTTGTTTATATAAGCACAACCTCTTTATAAGCACATTTCTAAAAAAGTTACTATCATCCCAACTACGTGATTATAGAGAGGGTTGACTGTATAATACCGGACCCTCGGTATATAAATATTTAAATTTCGTAAATCTTTCATCGATTTAAAAAATAAATATAATGACTATATCCACATTTGCATGGGCAATACTTGCGATAATAGCTATCGCAATTGTTGTCGGTAAGTAAGCATACAAAATTATTATATATTGCGGTATTATTATAATATGCCCATAATGTTCATACCGTGAAATTTCAAAAAAACATCGATTATAAGACGATAACTTTTCCAAATTTTTTTATTTGTGCATCTAATCCATTATTTTTTTCGTCATAAATGATTCGTACTTAAATCTAAAAGCTGTCTTAAATTTTGTCGGAAACCGATCAAAGAAAGACACATTTCTCTTATTAGGTTTATCTGATTCGGGTAAAACTTCATTATTTCTTAGGGTACGTATCTTTTCCCAATTTTTTCATGCTCGATCTTTATTTATATAAAGCATTTTTATCATGTTAATTCATATTAGTTACGGTACGGATCTTTAGTGCAAACTCACACATCTATGAAAGAAAATGAAGGACGTTTTATAATAAATAATAATGTATAAAGTCGATTTATTATTATTATTTTGTCATTTAATTTTTCATCATTTAAATTCGTGGATTTCTTTTTTTAAAACAATTAGGGTGAACCATTAACAAAGGGTCCAATTCATGTTGTTGATGTACCAGGACATGAAAAATTACGATTCAAATTTTCAGACTTTATGCCTATTACGCGCGGAATTATATTTATTATTGATAGTTCGACTTGTGCAAAAAATTCAAGGCAAATTGCAGAGTGAGTTATTTTATTCATACTATACAATAAAATATCTTACAATTTTATTTGCCTTATTTATTTCCTTATTTATACTTTTTTTTTTTAAACGCGCAGGTATCTCTATGATATATTTTCACATAAAAAAGTAAAACAAAACATTCCTACATTAATCGCATGTAATATGAGTGACATGATTACAGCATTACCACCTGAACGTATACAAACCCTACTCGAAAATGAAATGTATGTTTTAAGTGTCCACTTTTGAATTCAAAAAGGTTATCATTAGTTTTTTTAATTGTTTTTCTCAAATACAAAGAAACCGTCTACGAATAACTCGCACATCTGGATTGGATCATCAAGATTCAATAGATGAGGTAGAATTTTTAGGTTACGAATCAGAAAATTTTAAATTTGAGCATCTGGAAAACGATGTTGTATTTGAAAAATGTTCTGTCAAGGAAGGTGAAATTGAAGTAATTAAAAAATGGATTGTAGATACATTTCAAAGAAAATAAAGAATTTTTGCGGTGTACAATTTTTGGTTATATTACGTTTGTTAGTAAAAGTCTACGAAGAGAATGCACGTTTAATAAATTTTACTAATACGTACAATTTTTGCTAGATCTACATAATCTATATATAACAAGCTTATAGGTTATACTATTAAGTATGTAAAATATTAAATAAAATGTTCAAAACCTTCCAAAACTATAATTTAACCTTATATTTGACTTTTATTTTTATTCTAAAACTATATTTTTAATTTTAAAAATAAAATATTACCAATTATTGTAGTAAAAATAAATTTAAATATCGAAATTAATTTTAATTTAAATAAAATTTTAACTTGTTTAAAAATAATCTAAAAGCAAACTTAATTTCTTTATTTAATACAAAACAAGCTTATTTAAATTTAAACTTTTTTAAACCTACATGTTTAAATTTATTTAACTTTATTAGCTTAAAACATAAAAATATAAAATAAAAAAAATAAACCAAATACATTACCTACAAAATTTAGAACCGCATAAACATTCAAAATGTGAATTTTGAATTCTATAATCTATTGTTAACTCAGTATTTTTAGAAATATCTCTTTGTGCAAAAAATCCAATTCTTTGAAATCTTATATCTTTGGTTTCTACAAAGAACTTTAACAAAAATTTAGCTAAATGCAATAGATAATATTGCAATAATAACTAATAAACAATAGTATATATTTACAGGAATAGTTACAAGATTGGCGTCACATGAATGATTCATAAATCTTGAAATATTGCACCAGTAGTTTGAATCCAGGCTATTAACACCAATATTAAAACTAAATTTAAAATTAACAAATATATACTCATACTTCAAAACGACATACCAAAGAATCTTTGATCCTTTATCACTGTCAAATCCATAATCTAAATCAAAGTAACCCATCATATTTAGTTTATCATAGCAAATAGACCTCAACATAGATGTTCTTGAATTTATAATTTCTCCAACATGTTCAGTTACAAAAGAACCTTCTTTTATTGGTTTCAAAGTTCTCACACCCCATCCCCTATTTGAAGTTTTAAATATCTATAATAAAAAATTCTAAATTAAAATTCTTCACACACTCATTATTTTCATTAGTATCACTAAGTGAACGTACCTGTAAATTTTTATCGTTCATGTTATTCTTTTGAATGTTCCTATTAGGACAAGTATAATCACAACCACAAAAAGAGTTACATTCATAAATGGCTCCAATATCTGATCTGATTAATTTGCCATTTTTGAATGGATATCCAGCTAATATCAATTCAAATATATATACATTTAAAATTGGAATTATTAACCGAATAAAGATCTAAGTTTAATGTTTACCTTCGCAATGTTGTATACATGAACACACTTCAATGTCCTAGAAGGAATTTGAAATCCAATTAATCCAAAAGTTGAAGAGCTTAAAAATAATACCAAATTGATCTATCCTACTCGACAATTATTGCGACAAGTACACCCATAACTGAATTCTTTCGCAGGATCCTTTACACCCCAATGCTTAAAATTTTCCGTTGTAAACTGTGTAATAAAAGAACACAGTCAATATAAGAAATAACTTAAAGTGCAATTATCTTTTACAAACCTCCAAATAAGGTAGCTTATCATCATCAACATCATTATGTACGCTATAAGGCAACAAATCTTTTTGAGGTGGTTTAATATCAGCATTCCATAGTTCTTCAAGCCTTGAATCCCAAGGATCAAGCTTGTTTTCAATTTGAGTTAATCCATCAAATGCTTCTTTTATACATGCCGGAATTATTTTGTTGTTTGGAAGGCCTGTTGCAGACAAATCTAATACTGTGTTCTGTTGAGAAGAATGCATTTTATTTACAACTTCCTATAAAATATATTATTATGCCATAATCAAATTTTTAACTAAAAAACACGGAGATTCAACGATATGAACAATTAAGCATACTGCTACTGTATCCCAAATGGTTTTTACATAATTCGGCGGTCTAAAAATTATTATGCCCTATAAATGTTAAGTTTCGTAAATAACTATTGAAAATCATATATTATTTGTAAGGTTTTAGGGTACTCACAATAGCTTGAATTAATTCATAACTAAAACTATATTCAGTAACATAACTTGATATTAACGAAATTTCTCTATTAATCAAATCTGTCGTTATTTCTCGCGTGTGTTTTATGTTGTTTCTAGGTGTTGAACTAATTAATGTTCCGAAAATTATATAGATTTAAAACCACAGCAGACTTCCTCAACCTACTTCATAACCTCACGATGTTGTACCCATTCCAGTGAAATAAAATCTGAATTTAATTTTTCGTTCAGTGCTTGTGATAAATGTATGATTGCTTCGAGATTTTTTAACCACAAATAAATCATTCGTGGATTAAAGTATTGCTCAAGTGCTGGAGTTGCCTCAGGTGCAGCTTGCTTTGAGGGTATACTCGAACGGTTGGAGGGCAATGAGGAATAACCGGTGCTAGAATCTGTCAACATTTTTGCTCATAACAAAAGTCCGCGTGAATCTTTAATTGAGTTAGATAATTTGAAAAAAGTCAGCAAGGAGACATAAATTTTGGGTTATATATATCGATACACTAACATTAATCAAGCCGAGCCGTTACTATCAATTAAGCCGTCCGGTTTAGCGGATGAATCGGAATATAAAAAAAAATTTTTTTTTAAAATTAGGCCATGCAAAATTAATTGATTGATTTTCATAACCCGGCCGGGTCAAAATTTGAAAACTTGTAGTTGCACTCATACGTATAATGCTAATATTGAGTAAGCAATATTACAGTGAAACCCGTTGTCAGCCAATCAATTGCCCACTAACGCTATAATATATACGTTTTAATAACCGGGTGGGATTTTAAAAAAAAATTTATATATGAAATTTAAAAAAAAACCAGCCGGCCGGGTCTGTTTAAAAGTTTTATGTTATGAAAATCAATATATTAAATTTGTGTGGCCTTATATATAAACTTAAGGATTTTTTAAAATAGTGCATTTGCACCATGGTGCACCCATATAATACAAATAAATATACCTAATTGATATATAACAAATATATATTATGCTGTTACACAAGGTCCTGTGTTATGTCACACAAGGTCATATGTGTTACAGGGACACGGATTTATATAGATCAATATAAATCGAGTAAATCGAATCTTTCTGTAGTGTAACATTACACGATCTTGGTGGGCGGAATTATGAATAGTGCCGGCCAGCTATCCTAGTGTCGCCCATAAAAAATGTAGCTTACGTCATTATTAATTCACAGAATCAAAACGCAAAATCAAAATTTAAAATTTATAATAACTTGATATAGAAGTGTTATGGATTAAGATAAATAGAATTTTTATGATTTTTCAAAACCATCAGTTCGTTATAAAAAGAGTTAATCATACTTGTTTTTTTAAAGAAATATATGTATATATAATAATAACCTAATATCATTATGTACTTGTTTTTATTAAACACTTGGCAGTGATCAAAATAAAAATATTTCTATATTAGAACCTTAAGAATTCTGCTAATTGCTTTGTTTTTTATTGTTCAAAACATAGTGAGAACCTCTATATACAAGACAAAATGCAATGAATATAACAATTATAATAGTGTATATACAATATCAAATTCTGATTTTTTATATTTATTTTTATAAGAGATACTAAAAAAACAGCATTTTATTGTTATTATTAATTCAGAGCTTTAATTATAATGTAAGTTATATTGTTTATAAGTAATACTAGATGACTAGTATTGGCCAAAATTTAATAATGCTAGTTAGAAACTTGTGAATCAGATGATCAGAATTATAAAAGGCTTTTTTATGATTATCTTACAACTTATATATATGCAGTTTTTTTTTTTTTTTTTCTTTAAAAAAAAAAAAGATATATTTTTTTTTGATATGTTGTTGAAGGTTTTTCATGTTTAAAATAGTTATCTAAATAAATTACAGTATATTCTTATACACAAGAATTTCCAAATAACTTTGTTATTAATGTTAGCCTTTTAATATGCCAATTTTGTTGCATTCTGTAAATTGGAAAGCTAAGATATTTGTTATAACCCATATTAATACAAACTCTTATAAAAATCTAAATAAAAGGCACATTCTATAAGTAAAACCAGACAACCTATTTTAAACTCTGTAGTTAATGCAAATAAATCAAAAAAGACTGCTATTAATAATTTAATTCATATATTTGTTCAAGCTGATATTCTTCTAAAAAAAATAAACAAGCTTAGATCATGATTATGAATGTATTTATATAAAGATAATAATATTCTTTTAGTTGATACCTTGTGTTATGAGTACCTTTTTGGAGTTTTTGAAACCTATCTAATTACAATTAAACAAATGTTTAATAACAAAAAAATTTCAGTAATTGTTAATAAAATTACTAATAATAGAATAAGAAGCATTATTAATATTTTGTTTATGAAGACCTTAAACTCCATTCTATCTACTTTAGACTCCACTACAACATTAGTGAAGATAGTGTTAACCAACCTCTCTTTAAAATACAAAACGTTAATAAATTCAATATTAATATTTTCCTTAATATTGTAATATGGTTGCTTAACCTAACTAGATTCTAAATATTTGTTTAATAAATATGTCGTCGCCAGTTAAAT